ATAACTTTTACATACAAGTTGGAGCCGAGTTCCTTAATCATGATAATATTTCTGGCCATAAGTAAACTGGTTCAGCGCGTGAGGTAATTATCAGAGAGAGAGAGAGAGAGAGAGAGAGAGGAGAGAGAGAGAGAGAGAGAGAGAGAGAGAGAGAGAGAGAGAGAGAGAGAGAGAGAGGGAGAGAGAGAGAGAGAGAGAGAGAGAGAGAGAGAGAGAGAGAGAGAGAGAGAGAGAGAGAGAGAGAGAGAGAGAGAGAGAGAGAGAGAGAGAGAGAGAGAGAGAGAGAGAGAGAGGAGAGAGAGAGAGAGAGAGAGGAGAGAGAGAGAGAGAGAGAGAGAGAGAGAGAGAGAGAGAGAGAGAGAGAGAGAGAGAGAGAGAGAGAGAGAGAGAGAGAGAGAGAGAGAGAGAGAGAGAGAAAAGAGAGAGAGAGAGAGAGAGAGAGAGAGAGAGAGAGAGAGAGAGAGAGAGAGAGAGAGAGAGAGAGAGAGAGAGAGAGAGAGAGAGAGAGAGAGAGAGAGAGAGAGAGAGAGAGAGAGAGAGAGAGAGAGAGAGAGAGAGAGAGAGAGAGAGAGAGAGAGAGAGAGAGAGAGAGAGAGAGAGAGAGAGAGAGAGAGAGAGAGAGAGGGAGAGAGAGAGAGAGGGAGAGAGAAATCCAAGAAGATGGTACTGTGGCAACCAGCAATTAAGAGAAGGCTAATCTACTGGCAAACCACTTTGCTGCCAACATGCAGGTCTCTGATCCTGAACGTCAGCCTCCACATCTTGCCCCACGCACTGTGTCTTGGATGACTGAAGTGGTTATACAACAGGCTGACGTTCTCCATCTCTTTAACACGCTAGACACAAGCAAAGCTGTGGGGCCAGGTAAGGTCAGTCCAAGACTACCACGCAGCTGCGCTGACCTGTTGGCTCCACCTCTCACGTGCCTCTTCCAACTGTGCCTGGCTGAAGGAATGTGACCTTCCTTATGGAAGAAGGCCGACGTTGTTCTAGTACACAAAGAGAAGAGCAGCTGAGTGGTTGGTAACTACAAACCAGTGTCACTGCTCTCCATTACTGGCAAAATCCAAGAATTATTAATCACTCAGCAAATGATATAATTTTTTTATCATCATCGGCTAATATGTGATCGACAGTATGGTTTTAGAAAAGGCTGATTCGCTGCTGATCTCTTACTGAATCTCTCCACTTAGTGGCATCAGTCACTGGATGAGTCCAAGAACAACTGTGTAGTTGCTCTAGATATAGCAGGAGCCTTTGATTGGGTCTGGCACTCTGAATTCTGGTGAGGCTTGAAGCACTAGGCATCTCTGGCTCCATCTTAGAGTTGATAAAAGACTTCCTTCAAGAACGGACTCTAAGGGTAGTCCTCAATGGAGCAGAATCCGAAATCCACAATTAGTGCCAGCGTTCCTCAGGGTAGTGTGCTTGGCTTTCTGCTGTGGAATGTTTATTTTAACGATCTATTTCATTTTATTCCTGAAGCTCAAGCCTATGCTGATGACTGCACTCTAACCTTCCCATACAGTCTTATATCAGGAGGAGCTGGTCGGGGACTTAAACCCAAAAGGAGCTCTGGTTGTTGCACCAGACTGTTACTTGCGTACAGGTGGACCAAGTCTCTATCCACACCCTAATAGAACAACAGCCGACATCGGCAGCTACACTCCCGCTACCGTCGGTCGACCAGCAATCGACACTGGAGTGCTTGCAATTTACCTTGGAGATCACCCTGTACGATTCTTCATCTTAGAGAGGGGTTCAGCGACACCTAATTAGAGGTTGCGACTCCAGAACTGGCCTCAATGTCTTGAGTACACACCCTACTCGAGCCGCCGTGACTCCCCACTCTCTCCTTATTTGGAATGATCTAAATCCCCTTTTCGTGAATTAGTGTATACTGTCACCTTATCCACAGCCGTGACCCCTCTCTCTCTCTCTCTCACGCTTTCCGGGAAACCTCATCAGGACAAGAACAAAAATCAGCTAACATATAAAACATTTAATACATAGAAACGTACATAATACAAGATATATAATCTATATAAACAAAAATGTAAATGTTCGTTTGTTCAGAATCGCTAATCTCCGAAAGTTCTTGACCGATTGTTTTGAAATGTTCACACAATGTTCCATTTGCATCTGAGTATTTGTTATATACATACTATATAAATGTCTTATCTGTGACGGAAAAAACATGTTTTTTTTTAAACTGTGTTTTTCATGTGATGGAAATCTTCGAAACCTCTTTACCGATTGCTTTGAAATTTTGTCACAACATTGCATTCGAATAGGCGCATGTTTTTATATACTTGCTATATACATGTCTCACCTGTGACTGGAAAAAACATGCTTTTTGAAAAACAGCGCCATCTGTTGGACGTAGGAGCAACACGCGGTAATCTCTGGAAGTTCTTCACCGATTGCTTTAAATTTTTGACACAACGTTCCATTCATATACGAGCGTATTTTTATATTCCTATTGTATAGATGTCAAACCTATGAATGGTAAAAACATTTTTTTTTTAAAGAGCGCCACCTGTTTCACGTAATAGGAACACACGCTATACAAAACATGTTACAATTCCATTTGAATGTTTCCGATTGCATTGACAAATTGAATTTTCATAGATTTCGATTTATTTTAATTTTGATTTAATTATTTTGTGTGACATTGTGTTGGATCTGAGCTGTGTTGTTTACCATACCGTTCATTTCGTGAGTATAATTTATTTTTATATTTTTTCATTGTTTTTCATTTCGTTTTTTTAACTGTTTGTCTTATATTGCAGTGATGGGGGCATCAGATCTCTTGATATTCCCAATTTTCTGATGGGAACTTGAGATCATTTTGGAATGCATCAGACTAGGGAGTGGGGAATGGTGGGGAGGACGAGGGGACAGCAGAGCGAGGGTAATGGTGGGGAGGACAAGGGGATGGGTGAGTTAGGGATGGTGGGGACAGGGGAATCGAGAAAGGTGAGGAGGACAAGGAGACAGGGGAGTAGGGGATGGTGGAGAGAACGAGGGAACGGGGGAGGGGGGGGAATAGTAGGGAGAACGAGGGGACAAGGGAGTGGGAGATGGTGAGGAGGACGAGGGGACGGTGGAGTGGGGGATGGTGGGGATGACAAAGGGACGGGGGAGGGGGGGGGGAATAATGGGGAAGACGAGGGGAAGGGGGGAGTGGGGAATAGTTGGGGGGACGAATGGACTGTGGCTCAGCAACACACATGTGGAGCCGAGCCACAACAACGCGTTGCCGGGTACAGCTAGTATTCAATATTACCGTTCATCACTCTTAGCTGCTACAACCCAGTAGCACTCCAATATCATATCTTGGCTTCACCAACTATCTATATCAGGCGGCTGCTTGGGGCTGAAGTACCTGGAAGATCTACATCAGTATTCCCCAACACAAGAAGAAATCCATTTCTCACGTTACACTGCGTCTTACATGCCAGTAATCAAGCACTCCACTTATACATTATTGTGTCCACGTCATCCTCTGTCCAGCTCCTAGAGGCCCGCTACCAATACATATATCTAGGTCTTACTGAAATCAGAAAAGGCACTTCTGGAGTTCTCCCAGTGTGCTGCACAACGCACTCCTGCTCCAGCACCAGTGACGCTCCTCCACTGGCTCCACAAGGACACGTGCAGCTCCCCTACACTGCTTGAAGCTCAACTCCTCACTATGGAGAAGAAGTGTATGCTGTTCTACCTCAGAGTTCAGCAAACACTTCTTCTCCAGCCTCAACGTTCCTCCATTAACTTCTTCCCACACAAACCAGCAATTCCATTACCATGCCAATAAAACTGTTTCCCTAACAAAACATAAGTAATAAACATATATCCCAGCACTAATTTTTGCCATTCGATGTCGCACCGCGCCGTCCAATTGTGGTGGGTATTCCCCCATCTTGGACGAGTCCAAGCTGGAAACATGTCTTGACAGGACTCTGGGACCTCCGGCCGCTACGCTGGGAGGCCTCCGGCTGGTACTCTAGGAGGCCTCCGCTCCTCAGTCGCCCCTTCACCTCCATCGAGAGTGGATGTATCACTCCTCCCTCCAGCATGTTCTCTTAACTCTAACTCTTTATTTTAGCTCACAGGATCAATAAAATCTCTATCCTATATACACATATGTTCACTATGATCGCTGGGCACACGATCAAACACTGGTAGCTAATCTAACAACTGATTAAACAAGCTTAGTGCAGAAATCTATGACGTGACGGCGCTGTTCTCTGGTGCTCAACATGGCGCTCACTCACTCAGGTCACCCACAAAAATCGCTTTAGGACTGCTTCACAAGGCTTCCTCCAGTCCTGACTTGTGTACACGGAGTGGCCCGGCAGGCTCACACACACATGACTGCTTGTGTCCTCCTCTTGAAGCAGCACAGGTAGAGTTCCACAGAGGCATGACCTAACACTTGCTTCCACCCGCCTTTAATATATTCAAATCACAGTGAAATGGAGTACGATGTGCCCAACGGTTTCCTCACACTTGAAAACAAGGAGGCTTTACCTCACCACTAACACAGGCCACTGTATTCTTCCTTCTTCCAGGAGATCAGTGAAGTACAACCATCTCTGACGTCAGCTGTGACTCAAGTAACGTCACGACGTTCTGCTACCGTCTCGTCACGTCACCAAAATATCAACATCTCATTCCATGTCACTTTTATCCGACGCTCATCCTCTGCACGTATTCTTATATTACTCACTGACGTTTATTATATATATTTCTTCCTCTGACGTCTTAATCTCAGGTCTGGAAAGCAGAATAGCTCTCATTGGGTAGACTCGTTCCACCAGGCTACATGAGGTCATAACAGCAGTAAGGAGGAAATGCCAACTGCTGCAAGAATCATCAATCACCAACTTTCAGTGATTTCTACCTGGGGTAGGAGATGACAGGTCACATCTACGGCTGAGAAGACACGGGTGATGATGATAACTAGACTACACATGGCAAATTGGACAGGCTTGTAAATGGGCTGCAAAACCCTAGAGTTCACAGATGAAATTGACATCTTGGGAACGAAGTTCGACTCTTCAAAGACCACAAAGAGCCATGTGCTTAACCTAGCCCAAAAGGCAGCCAAGAAACGTACAGCTCTACGGCGCATCTCACACCTTCTTGACAGCAGTGGCTGCAAAACCTTATATGAAGCTCAAGTTCGCTCTCATCTAGAGTATGTAACCCTTTCCTGGCACCCCTGCCCCCCCCCATCATTCATCAGACTGTTGGACAAAGTGGAGAGAGACGGGCAAGAAGGCTTATCTCCAGTCTTGACCAAGTCTGGCGGGAACGGTCTGAACATCAGAGCCTGCAACACCGGCGTGACGTTGGTGTTGCAGGTGCAGGTGCAGTCTCAAAGTTCCGCACCTGGCCCAACTCCGTAGACTACCAGTAGTTGCCACCCGCAGCACTAGGCTCTCAACCTTCAACAGTCTCACGCTGGAAGTGCCATTCTCAAGAACATCACTCCATCAGCGATCATTCACACTCCGAGGCTGACTCGCATCTGGAACTTGTTCACTCAACAGGTTGATACTCGGGAGATCAGGTCAACTGTTCACATGAACACTCTGGCACACAGTTGGCTACAGGCTCATCCTCTTCCTTATGTGATTGTTACCTAATGTTATTAATGAATAATGACTATTACTACTGATGCATGTAACAGGCTCATGAAATAAAGGAGTTTCTAGGAGCAGGCTCCAGATGGGTTGAGGTAGGATAACAGCTCATACAGTTTCACCAAGAAAGTTATTTCACAGCCTTTATGAACCATAGGCTTAGCTAAAAAAAAAAGAGAGAGATACCGTCCGTCTATTGTGTCTATATTCCATCTGCCTGTCTGTCTGTCTGTCTGTCTGTCTGTCTGTCTGTCTGTCTGTCTGTCTGTCTGTCTGTCTGTCTGTCTGTCTGTCTGTCTCTCTCTCTCTCTCTCTCTCTCTCTCTCTCTCTCTCTCTCTCTCTCTCTCTCTCTCTCTCTCTCCTGCTACTGTCTGTGTATCCAAGCCATCTCCGTCTCATGTAATCAATGTATTGACAGAATCATCAATAAACGCAGCTTTAAAGTTCCATAAATCTTATTTCCCGAGCTTTTTACCTCACGGGGAAAAGAGTAGGAAATATTGGCACAAAATTTGCACACGTCAGCGTGCAAATTTGTCTGGGGAGTGAGCGGAGCGGCGTGCAAATTACACTTAATGCGATCTCCACCACAGAGGGACCCAAGTTCGAGTCCCGCTGGCAGCTACATGCGGGTTATTCTATTTTCTGGGATGTGTGTGGTGTGTGTGTGTGTGGTATGTGTGGGTGTGTGTGTGTGTGTAGTGTGTGTGTGTGTGTGTGTGTGTACTCACCTAGTTGTACTCACCTAGTTGTGTTTGCGGGGGTTGAGCGCTGGCTCTTTGGTCCCGCCTCTCAACCGTCAATTAACAGGTGTACAGATTCCTGAGTCTATTGGGCTCTATCATATCTACACTTGAAACTGTGTATGGAGTCAGCCTCCACCACATCACTTCCTAATGCATTCCATTTGTCAACCACTCAGACACTAAAAAAGTTCTTTCTAATATCTCTGTGGCTCATTTGGGCACTCAGTTTCCACCTGTGTCCCCTTGTGCGTGTGCCCCTTGTGTTAAATAGCCTGTCTTTATCTACCCTATCAATTCCCTTCAGAATCTTGAATGTGGTGATCATGTCCCCCCAAACTCTTCTGTCTTCCAGCGAAGTGAGGTTTAATTCCCGTAGTCTCTCCTCGTAGCTCATACCTCTCAGCTCGGGTACTAGTCTGGTGGCAAACCTTTGAACCTTTTCCAATTTAGTCTTATCCTTGACTAGATATGGACTCCATGCTGGAGCTGCATACTCAAGGATGGGCCTGACATATGTGGAATGCAAAGTTCTGAATAATTTTTTACATAAGTTTCAAAATGCCGTTCTTATGTTGGCCAGCCTGGCATATGCCGCTGATGTTATCGTCTTGATATGTGCTGCAGGAGACAGGTCTGACGTGATATCAACCCCCAAGTCTTTTTCTTTCTCTGATTCCTGAAGAATTTCCTCTCCCAGATGATGCCTTGTATCTGGCCTCCTGCTCCCTACGCCTATCTTCATTACATTACATTTGGTTGGGTTAAACTCTAACAACTATTTGTTCGACCATTCCTTCAGCTTGTCTAGGTCTTCTTGAAGCCTCAAACAGTCCTCTTCTGTTTTAATCCTTCTCAAAATTTTGGCATCGTCCGCAAACATTGAGAGAAATGAGTCGATACCCTCCGGGAGATCATTTACATATATCAGAAACAAGATAGGACCGAGTACAGAGCCCTGTTGGACTCCACTGGTGACCACGCCAATCGGAGGTCTCACCCCTCACCGTAACTCTCTGCTTCCTATTGCTTAGGTACTCCCTTATCCATTGTAGCACCTTACCAGCTACACCTGCCTATCTCTCCAGCTTATGTACCAGCCTCTTATGCGGTACTGTGTCAACATCTTTCCGACAATCCAAGAAAATGCAGTCCGCCCAGCCCTCTCTTTCTTGCTTAATCTTTGTCACCTTGTCGTAGAATTCTATTAAGCCAGTCAGGCAAGATTTACCCTGTCTGAACCCATTTTGGCGATTTGTCACAAAGTCCCTTCTCTCCAGATGTGTTACCAGGTTTTTTCTCACGATCTTCTCCATCACCTTGCATGGTATACAAGTCAAGGACACTGGCCTGTAGTTCAGTGCCTCTTGCCTGTCGCCCTTTTTGTATATTGGGACCACATTCGCTGTCTTCCATATTTCTGGTAGGTCTCCCATCTCCAGTGACTTACTTTACACTATGGAGAGTGGCAAGCAAAGTGCCTCTGCACACTCTTTCAGTACCCATGGTGAGATCCCGTCTGGACCAACAGCCTTTCTAACATCCAGATCCAGCAGGTGTCTCTTGACCTCCTCTCTCGTAATTTCGAACTCTTCCAAGGCCGCCTGGTTTACCTCCCTTTCTCCTAGCACATTGACCTCACCTTGTTTTATTGTGAAGACCTCCTGGAACCTCTTGTTGAGTTCTTCACACACCTCTTTGTCATTCTCTGCATACCTGTCCTCGCCTGTTCTAAGTTTCAATACCTGTTATTTCACTGTTGTTTTCCTTCTGATGTGACTGGAGTAGCTTTGGTTCGGTCTTGGCTTTGTTTGCTATATCATTTTCAAAACTTTTCTCTGCTGCTCTTCTCACCCTGACGTACTCATTCCTGATTCTCTGGTATCTCTCTCTGCTTTCTGGTGTTCTGTTATTCCGGAAGTTCCTCCACGCCCTTTTGTTCAGTTTCTTCGCTTCCATACATGCCCTATTATACCATGGATTGTTCTGTTGCTTCTCGGATTTTTCCCTTTGGGCCGGGATGCACCTGTTTACTGCCTCCTGACACTTTTGGGTAACATAGTCCATCATACCTTGTATAGACTTGTCTCTGAGGTCTGTGTCCCAAGGTATTTCCCTTAGGAAACTTCTCATCTGTTCATAATTCCCCTTTCGGTAAGCCAGCCTTAGACTACGACTATGTGTGTGTGTGTGTGTGTGTGTGTGTGTGTGTGTGTGTGTGTGTGTGTGTGTGTGTGTGTGTGTGTGTGTGTGTGTGTGTGTGTGTGTGTGTGTGTGTGTGTGTGTGTGTGTGTGTGTGTGTGTGTGTGTGTGTGTGTGTGTGTGTGTGTGTGTGTGTGTGTGTGTGTGTGTGTGTGTGTGTATGTGTGTGTGGTGGTACTTCCCTAGTTACTTACCAAGTTGTGCTTGCGGGGGTTGCGCTCTGGCTCTTTGGTCCCGCTTCTCAACTGTCAATCAACTGGTGTACAGATTCCTGAGCCTACTGGGCTCTATCATATCTACACGTGAAACTGTGTATGGAGTCAGCCTCCACCACATCACTGCCTAATGCATTCCATTTGTTTACTACTCTGACACTGAAACAGTTCTTTCTAATGTCCCTGTGGCTCATATGGGCACTCAATTTCCACCTGTGTCCCCTAGTGCGTGTGCCCCTTGTGTTAGATAGTCTGTCTTTAGCTACCCTCTCAATTCATCTAAGAATCATGTATGTGGTGATCATGTTCCCCCCCCCCCCTAACTCTTCTGTCTTCCAGTGACGTGAGGTTTAATTCCCGTAGTCTCTCCTCGTAGCTCATACCCCTCAGTTCGGATACTAGTCTGGTGGTAAACCTTAGAACCTTTTCCAGTTTAGTCTTATGCTTGACTAGATATGTACTCCATGCTGGAGCCGCATGCTCCAGGACTGGTCTGACATATATGGTATTCAAAGTTCTGAATGATTCCTTACACAAGTGTCTAAAGGCCGTTCTTAAGTTAGCCAACCTGGCATGTGCCGCTGATGTTATCCTCTTGATTTGGGCTTCAGGGGACAGGTCTGGCGTGATATCAACCCCCAGGTCTTTCTCTCTCTCTGACTCTTGAAGTATTTCATCTCCCAAATGATACCTTGTATCTGATCTCCTACTTCCTACCCCTATCTTCATTACATTACATTTGCTTGGGTTAAACTCTAACAGCCATTTGTTCGACCATTCCTGCAGCTTGTCCAGGTCTTCTTGAAGCCTCAAGCTGTCCTCCTCTGTCTTAATCCTTCTCATAATTTTGGCGTCGTCAGCAAACATTGAGTGGAATGAGTCTATACCCTCTGGGAGATCATTTACGTATATCAGAAATAGGATAGGTCCAAGTACAGAGCCCTGTGAGACTCCACTGGTGACTTCAGGCCAATCCGAGGTCTCACCCCTCACTGTAACTCTCTGCTTCCTATTGCTTAGGTACTCCCTTATCCACTGGAGCGCCCTACCAGCTACTCCTGCCTGTTTCTCCACCTTATGCATCAGCCTTTTATGGGGTACTGTGTCAAAGGCTTTCCGACAATCCAAGAAAATGCAGTCTGCCCATCCTTCTCTTTCTTGCTTAATCTTTGTCACCTGATCGTAGAACTCTATTAGGCCTGTGAGGCAAGATTTACCCTCCCTGAACCCATGTTGATGGGTTGTCACGAAGTCTCTTCTCTCCAGATGTGTTACCAGGTTTTTTCTCACGATCTTCTCCATCACCTTGCATGGTATACAAGTTAAGGACACTGGCCTGTAGTTCAGTGCCTCTTGCCTGTCACCCTTTTTGTACATTGGGACCACATTAG